AGCAGAGGTCAGGAAGGTATGTCCAGATACAACTGTGTTTATAATATTGAGTTTCATGAACTGGCAGGTGAGCACATGGGTTATATTATTTTCTTTAATTTTTTATCTTTCAGTTACAGTTGACACACAATATTATATTAGCTTCAGGCATACAACATAGTGATTAGACATTTATGTAACTTACAAAGTGATCTCCTCAATAAGTCTAGTACCCATCTGACGCCATACATAGTTATTACAATATTATTGACTATATTCCTTATAATGTACTTTATACCCCCATGACTGTTTTTATAACGGGCAATTTTCACATCTTAATCCCTTTTTTCATCCATCCCCCCATCTGGCAAGCATCCAAGTATTCTCTATATCTATGAGTTTGTTTTTGTTTTCTTTGTTTATTTTGTTGTTTTAGACTCCTTGTATAAGTGAAATCGTATGCTATTTGTCTTTCTCTGTCTGACTTATTTCACTTAGCATAATACCCTCTAGGTTCATCCACAATGTCACAAATGGCAAGATTTCACTCTTTTTTATAGCTGAGTAATATTCCACTGTATATACAAAGTGTGCCCCAAAAAATGTATACACATTTTAAGAAAGGAAAAACCTGTATTAAAATTGTAATACTCAATATATACCAATAACAAAAGATGAATACAAGTCATGTTGGACTTCTGCAATTACAGAAGGTGCTCCAAGTGGTTACCATCAGCGTAATTTTAATATAGTTTTTTTTCCTTTCTTAAAATGTGTATAGATTTTTTTGCCACCCTCTGTATGTACCATATTCGTCTACTGATGGACACCCAGGCTGCCTCCATATCTTGGCCATTATAAACAGTGCTGCAATGAACACATGGATACACATGTCTTTTCAAATTAGTGTTTTGCATTTGTTTGGATAAATTCCCAGAAGTAGAATTGCTGCACCCTTCTTTGTCTCCTGTTATAGCCTTTGTTTTAAAGTCTATTTTGTCTGGTATAAACATTGCTACTCCAGCTTTTTTGGTTGTTGTTTTCCCATTTTCATGAAATATCTTTTTCCATCACTTTACATTCAGTCTGTGTGTGTCTTTCAATCTGAAGTGAGTCTCTTGTAGGCAGTATATGTAAGGGTCTTGTTTTCTTATCCATTCAGCTACCCTATGTCTTTTGATCAGAGCATTCAATCCATTTGTATTTAAATTATTGATAGGTATGTAGTTATTGCCATTTTATTATTCATATTTCTTCTTCTTCTCCTCCTCCTCCCACTCCTTCTCCTCCTCCTCCCACTCCTTCTCCTCCTCCTCCTTTCTCCTCCTCCTCCTCCTCCTCCTCCTCCAAGAAGTCCCTCTAACATTCCTTGTAATGCTGGTTTGGTGGTGATGAACTCCTTTAGCTTTTTCTTGTCTGGAAGCTCTTTATCTACCCTTTAATTCTAAACGATAGCCTTGTTGAGTAGAGTAATCTTGGTTGTAGGTCTCTGCTACTCATCACTTGGAATATTTCTGGCCACTCCCCACTTGCTTGCAAAGTTTCTGTTGAGAAATCAGCTGACAGTCTTATGAGAGCTCCCTTGTAGGTAATTGCTTTTCTCGCTGCTTTTAAGGTTCTCTCTTTGTCTTTAACCTTTGGCGTTTTAATTATGATGTGTCTTGGTGTGGGCCTCTTTGAGTTAATCTTGTTTGGGACTCTCTACACTTCCTGGGCTTGTATGTCTATGTCCTTCACTAGGTTTTTTCAAACAGGTTTTTTTTCAAATAGGTTTTCAGTTCCTTGCTCTCTCTTTTCTCCTTCTGGTACCCCTGTAATGCAAATGCTTGGTGTTGTCCCAGAGGCCCCTTGGATTTTTTTTTTCTGATTGTTTCCTGTTACCTTGTCTTCCAAATTGCTGAATTGATCCACTGCTTCTCTAATCTATTATTCATTCCCTCAAGTGTATTCTTTGTTTCAGCTATTGTATTCCACATTTCTGACTGGTTCCTTTCTGTTTTCTATTTCCATTTTTATGTTTCCTATCTCTTTGTTGAAGTTCTCCCTGAGATCATTGAGAATAATTATAACCAGTGTTTTGAACTCTGCATCTGATAGATTGCTTGTCTTCATTTTGTTTAGTTCTTTTTCTAGAATTTTGATCTGTTCTTTCATTTGGAATATATTTCTTTGTCTCCTCATTTTGGCTGATTCCCTCTATTTGTTTCTATATATTAGGTGGATCTGCTATATCTCACAGTGTTGGTAGGGTGGCCTTATGTAGTAGATGTCTTATGTGGCTTAATAGTGCAGTCTCCCTGGTCACCTGAGCAAGGTATGTGTCCCTTGTGTGAGTTGTGTGTGCCCTCCTGTTGAGCCTTGGTGTTTGCAAGTCAGTGGGAGGGATTTCCCCTCAGGCTGATTGGCTGTGAGGACTAGTTGTGACTACAGTGGGGGCTCTGTTGTGCAGGGGCTGACCCTCACAGAATGGGATTCATTTTAGTGGGGTTATGGTGCCTAACCAGTCTGCCCTTCAGATGTGTTGTTTGTGGAGGTGGTTCGGTGGTGCTTTGGTATGGTCTGAAGCTGGCCACCAGGTGTGTTGGTTCTGGAGTGTCTTGGGAGGGGCTCTGGTATAGGCCACGGTCAGCTGCTGCCTGTGCCCAGGCCAGGGCCACGTGGTGTGAGCTACAAAGTGATCTGCAGATGGTTGCCATTTGTACTGGGCTTAGAGGTGCCTGGGAGAGGCTAAGCTGCAAATGGGGTCCTGATGCCACTAATGCCAGGCTTAGGGCTGCTTAATAAGAGGTATGGGATACACCAAGGTCAGATACTGTTTGTTTTTAGTGTTTACAGGTGTATAAACACTCAGAGATTTTAGGAAAGTCTAAAGCATGAGCCGAGATAGGCCATTTGTATGGAAAACCTGCTGGAAGCACTTGCGTGAGCTCGCAAGTTGGGTGAGGCAGAGTCTCGGGGAATCACAAGTGCAGAGTGAATGGTTTCAGCTAGGTTGATGGAGACTTTGACTTGGCACTCACCTGCATCTGCATGCTGGGTGTGGGGAGGGTTCAACAGAGGAACAATGGTGTCTACCAGCACTTCTGTTTGGGAGAAAACTGCCCCTCCAGCCATTGCCCTCAAGACAGACAACTCAGTTTCTCCCCATATGCCCCTGGCATTTTTTGAGCTGCTGCCCAGCTAGAGCTCAGAGTAATTAAGCCCATCAGGGAGTAAATCTGTGTGTGGGCCCTTAAAGAGGAGCTCCTGGGAATCCAGCTGCCCTCCATCTCACTTAGCCACCATCTTTGCTGGTTTTCACAGTTAGAAGTTGTGGGGACTTCTCTTCCCAGCACTGAAACACAGGGCTGGGGTGCCTAGTATGGGGCAGGAACCCCTTGCTCCTCAAGGGGGGAGCCTCTGCAGCTGAGATATCCCTCCCATTTCTTAAACTCCACACAGTAGGTGTGGGGCCTGCCTGTTCTCCCTCTCCATCCCTCCTACCATTCTTGACTTTTTCTGTATATCTTTAGTTATAGAACCTCTGTTCAGCTAGTCTTCAGGCAATTCTCAATGATGCTTGTTCTATGGTTTAACTGCAATTTTGATGTGGTCATTGGAGCAGGTGAGCACAGCATTTATGTACTCTGCCATCTTGACTGGAAGTCTCCCCAGTTTCTGAATACATGTTTTAAATGATCACATCTATAATTGTTTATATGTCTAAAATATTTAAATAAAAATGAAAACTAAAAGAAGGTAATGTAGAAAAGATGTGTGCTTTTGTTCCTTTCTTCATTTCCTTTATTGTAGTTAAATTACTTATTCAGTAAATTAGAATCAAAAGAGAAAATTCAGGAGCTGAATCAGCACTTTGGAGATTTTTCCTCATTCAAAAATTCTTTTCGTTGGGGAGGCATGGAAAATAGAATCTAGTTTACTAATATCAGGGTTTGATGCCTGTAGAACTATTTGTTTGGTTGTCTCTTGGAGGAGAAGTAATCCCAGGGCTATCACTTTCTGTGTTCTGAGAGCAGCTCACACCTCTGCATGGGCATCCTGCCCTCAAAGTCTCACTGACCCTTCCCTGCAGGCCTAATGTGAACTGGCCTGGAAGTCATTCCACTGGGGTGAGACTAGCAGCTGCCTGCAAACTGCCCTGCTTTCCCAGAAAGCCTGCTCCAGCACCTTCCTACTCACTCAGCAAGTCCTCATTCCAGGCTGCTGACCTTGGAATTTCTCCCCACTGTGTAAACACAACCAACTGGGGAACTACATTCCTAAAGGAAATTCTCAGTAGAACTGGAAGATGAAAACTCCAACAATTTCAGGAACATAAAACTAATTGCACATGGATTTTCCTACTTCCTGAGCCTCTGGGATCCCTTACCATTTTCTGTATATAGCCTTGCTTTAAGGTGTTGGAATAAATGTCTCCCTGATTGCCCTTAGTTCTATGCCTTTTTCTCATGTGGATTCCGAGGGGAGGAGGGCTATCTGCCAGAATGGCTAGATGGAAGGAAGTTGGTCCAGGTAACTCCTTATTTACTTAATGAGCCAATCCAGAATCTGAGACTTCTTGTTATGTAAGATAATAAAAGTATTTTATTATTTAAACCACTTTTGGTTGAGAGTTGTGTTACAGCTGAAACATCCTAATTGTCCTAGGATGGAAAGGACATCGTGCTATAGATATTTTTGAGAAAGGCTGGAGCATGTAGTGATAGGCCTCTGGGGGCCTTCTTTAGAGCAGCGCTGCTCAAAGCGTGGTTTAAGGACCTGCAGCGTCAGAATTACCCAGGAGTTTGTTAGAATTGCAAATTCAAGGGCTTCACCCCAGACTTAGCAAATCAGATTCTTTGGAGGTGGGGTTGGGAATCTGTATTTTAACAAGGTCCCCCTCCAGCGATTTTGATGCAACTATAGTTGGAGGAAACGCTAATCTAGGAGACTCCCACAGCTGGGAATGCGATTGGTCCAACAGAGGAAGTGCTGTGCCTCTAGCTCATTGTTAATCCCCAGGAGCTTTTCTAATCCTCTTGGCCTCGTTTTCATTTTCTGTCACAACAATGTGAGAATCAAATGAGAAACTGGGTGTAAAAAGGTTTGAGAGAGCTAAAACCTTGATTCCTAGAAGAGTCTCTGAGCTGACCCAGCGATACCAGTGGACACAGCATCCAAAACTGCGGGCAGATGTGTGGGACAGGCTGGACTCCGCCTCACCAGCCTAAGCTTCTTTTGGTAGGGCCTGTCTCCATCTGTGTGTCCAGGTACCCAGCGGAGGAACTTGCATGGAGAAGATGGAGCATGCTCACTGTCATTCTTAATTGAGCTCAATTGCCCCTATTTTGAGTTTTCTTTTTCAGATTCCTGTGATCGGGAAGGACTGGAAACGCAGGTTTTGCTTAAAGAGGGGCAGCCCATGTCGCAATGCTGCCCCTCCTCTCTTACAACCTCAGTGACCTCAGCCGTCCTCCCCTCCACCTTCATTGAAGTGACCCACCCACCCCCGCCGCGGATTTCCCTGGCCTTCGACGCCCGAGGAGGCGCAGGACCCGCAAGCCTGGAGACTGACGAACGACTAGGTTCAAGAGTCTTCCCGCCTCTCAATCACTAGGTGTCGCCCCCGATGCGGGAACCACCCTCAGAGCCAACCAGGAGCCCCGCTCGGAGTGGGTGGCTGCGCGGGCCAGCACAGCGAGCCGAACCACGTTAGCAGGAGGAGAGGGCGCGCCTGCTGGCCAGAGGGCCAATCAGAGCAAGGGAGGTAAGCCGGCCTGCTCCAGTGGCCACTCAGGCGCAGACTGACGCGCTGCCTGCTCCAGGACTGGGCGAGCTTTCTGCCAATCAGGGGCGGAGCAAGCGGGGACTCAGCCAGTAGCGGGAGGCGATCGCGTCAGCCCGCGGCCTTGCGGTCCGCGCGGTGCCCGGCTAGAATCTGGGTTGGCTGAGAGCGGCCTCCCCCAGGCCCGCGCGCTCTGCTCTCTTTGCCCCTCGGTCCGGCCCGCCGGCCGTGTTGCGTCATGCCAGGCGTTGCTCCGCGCTAGTGCCGGGTCCGCTGCCGGCCTGCCCGAAGCCGCGCCCACTGCCTAGAGCCAAAGGGATGGTGGTAGTCACGGGGCGGGAGCCAGACAGCCGTCACCCGGACGGTGCCATGTCCAGCTCCGACGCCGAAGACGACTTTCTGGAGCCAGCCACCCCGACGGCCACACAGGCGGGGCACGCGCTGCCCCTGCTGCCCCAGGAGGTACCTGGACTTGGGGGAGGGGGAGGGGAGGGGGCGGGGACGGGGCGCAGAGGAAGAAGCAGGTGCTGGGTGGAGCTGACCTTGAGATGTTAGCACTGCTGGGTTTGAGGGTCAGGAGTCAGGCTGAGGACGGTGCCAGAGGAGCTGTGTTCACCTGCCCGCCCCCCCCAAACCCCCCCAAATGCACCAGGTGTGTCTTCCTTGCCCTAGAGGGCACCTGGTCCCCATTTTCCTCCTTCCAGTATTCACTGCCTGCAAGGTCGATTTACTCCCATTCCTGTGTCCCACCCTTACCAACTAGAGGAGGGAGAGTAGACCTGGGAAGGGGACCTTGGAGCCCCAAGAGATGATAGTGTCTTCTAGAAAATTCAGGAGGAGGCTTTGGTGGTTGCCCAAACCGTCTCCAGCTGCTCAGAGAGTGGAATAAGGGACTGTGTGCAGATAAGAAGCACCAACTGGTAGATGTGTCCACATTCACCTGACAACTCCCTGATTTTCCCTCACTAGCTGCCGTGCTGTGGTGCTCTGTGGCTTAACTGCCCTTACTGTGTATGACAGTCTCATAGTAACACATGAAATGACCCTTGAGAGAAGGGAAAAGAACAGGGAAGGCGGGGCATGGCTGGGCACTGAAGACAGAGACTAGGAAGGAGGAGCTAACAGACTTTCAGTGGAGCCAGAGGGACGCTGTAATATTGAAAAGTATGCACTGGGACAAAGTTTTAGTTAATTTGGAGGAGGATTGTTGGAAAATTAGAGAGAACTGCCCTTGTTTCTTTCCAAATCACAAGGAGTGAAAGATAGCAGAAAGGAAGGAAGGAAGGGAAAAAAAGGTCGTGAGCATTTTAGGGAGAACCTAGAGCTTCTCAGGGCAAATGTATTCCATCATTCCCTGTTCTGCACCCTTCCTCCAGAACCTTAGCTGGACTGGGGACTGATCTCCCTCTACAGATTAAGAAGGAATTATTCAACAAACATCCATAAGCCTTTCTGTGAGTGGCCTCATGATTGGTGAACAAGATATTGTCGCTGCCATCAGGAAGCTTAGGGTCTAGTAGGGTGGGCTGACAGATAATTGCCAATGTGTTGTTCTAGGCACTGTAGTAGAGGAGAGTGTGGCACACAGTGAAGGCACAATGGAAGGAGGGTTCAGTTAACTCTGTCTTGGGGACTGGCAAGGGACAATACAGTGGAAATGCTCACACAGTAGGGGAACTTGAACAGACGCTCTTCGAGTGGGTGGACCCTGCTAACCTATATGGTGCCTTGGTGTGAATTAGAGAAAGGGTACACATCTGGGCTAGCAGATCACTCTCATACAGGTGCCCTTGTGCAGTGAACAACGTATATCACCATTTGGGCCTTAAATTTGCTAGATGGACAAAGGGAGAGTAGTAAGAGTATTTTGGACAGAGAAGACAGTATGAGCAAGGGCACAAAAGTGGTAAATTCAGGAAGTAGAAGGGGGACAGTGAAGGCTTTGAACTCTAGAGCAGAGATAATAGGATTAGGATGGAGAGACCTGATTTCAGAACTTTGGGAGAGTGGGAATGGATAGGTCTTGGCCACTAGTGGGTGTGGGGAAAGGGAGGAGAGAGGAGTGTTCAGAAAGACTTCTGGGTTTTGGCTTTGGGTGACTGAGTGAATGGTGAGGCATTAATCAGACCCAAGGAGACTGCAGACGGAGCCTCCCGGCTCGCATTCCCCTTCCCTGGCTGAACATGCAGCTGTTTCTTTCCAGTTTCCTGAGGTTGTCCCCCTTAACATTGGAGGGGCTTACTTCACCACACGACTGTCCACCCTGAGGCGCTACGAAGACACCATGCTGGCTGCCATGTTCAGTGGGCGCCATTACATCCCCACTGATGCTGAGGGCCGGTACTTCATTGATCGGGATGGCACGCACTTTGGGTATGTTTCTCCCTCTACGATCAACTTTGTAGTCCTAGCAAGTGAGTGGCCTGGGCGTGGATCTGGGCTTTCGTATTTTCCATAGTATCTAGAAGAGGAGATAGCATACTCACAGAATTTAATAAATGTGCATATTGAATTGGATCCAAATTCTTAGTTTCTTTCCCAGAGGGACAGGACAGCTGGAGAAACCCCAGGTAACACACACTGGCTGGATGTGATGCAACTGCTTCTGTCCTACGCAGTTTAAGATGGCGAAGTTGTCATTTTTGTGGAAAGGAATAGGTGTGATCCCACCTAGGGGAGGGGGAGTTCCAAAACGCCTTCTTGGAGAATACCCTCAGGTTAGATTCTGGGGCAGCATGGTGTAAGAGAAGGTGAGGGACAGGCAACACGGGGCTGCCATCCTTTAATGTTGCCAAGAAAAGTCTTAAAAACCAAAACAACCTTCAGTTATTACTGTATTTTTACACTAAAACATGGAAAAACAATATAAAAAAATAGATAGCCCTTCCCAAGAAAAGATTTTGGACAACCTTACACATAAGGAATTTAAAGACTTTTTAATTTCAAGTTTCTTGTTTGCAAAACGAGAAATAATTATAGCTGCCTCTCAGGCCTGTCATGTGGATTAAATAAAGAGCCTTGGTGTGACCCTAGGCTAGGTCCTTTCAAGGTATATGGCTGAAGCTCTTTTCCCTTTCAGTTTAACTTTGGAAATGACTGAAGAACTCAGATGGCCCTTGACCTTGAACAAAATGACCAGGGAGGCAGAAACTTTCCCACCATTATGTCCCTGTGATGGCCACCACATAGGATTTACCACATTGAGAGAAGGGTCATTTTTATCCTCAGAAAAGAACCTCTGGTCAAATAGTTTGCTTTGAAGCATCTAGGTTTCCCCATTAGGCTGTCAGCTGCCTCCAGTGCTGAGAAAACAAAGCATCACTTAATGCAGAGCTATTAAAAGGTTTTTGTTTACAGGCTCTTTGGAGAAAGAAAGTGCTGGCCCCAGCTGGCAGCTCCCTTGCACTCTTTGCTGGGCCTTCCTTGTCCTGGGGGTATGTCAGACCTTAAGAACGTTTGCTTCAGATCCTAGAGGATCAGTTTAGAAGAGGGTTGTGGGGAGGGGGAATAGGGTTTGGTTGTAGGCTGATGTGCCCTTGCCCAGGTCACCACATGTGGAAAGTGGCAGAGCCAGGCAAGAGTGTGGCAGAAAACAGGATATTATGGCATTTATCTTCAAGACTGGTGGGCTCCAGTGGCCAGTGATTCAGCAGCAGCAGGTGAAGTTGTTAAAAGACTCAGGTAAAGTAAAATAGGCGTTTAGGGCATTTGGTGGGGTAAACATCTCTGATGGTAGCTCACGTACCCCCTACACCCATCATGGAGGCTGCTTGGGGCCCCACTTAAGGCAGTTTCCCATTTGATCAAGGCAGGGTATCTTTGGACTAAAGTCTGGACCACTGTGGGTGTGGGCTCAGAACCAACCATGTCTGCATCAAACCTCTGGCTAGCTGTGGCTCCTTGAGCAAGGGTGTTCCTTAACCTCTTTGAGCCCCACTTTTTCCTCGTTTATAAAATGGACATAAGATAACACTGATTCCATAATGTCATTGAAAGGATTCAATGGGATAACACACAAATAGTGGCTGGCACAGATTAACAGTGAGTGTTAGCTGGTATTGCATTATGATCATAGACTGGCTACTGAGGTAACAGCTTGATTTGGGGGTTTACTCACATATCATTACAGAAAAGCCCTTCCCACATCTACTAGTGATGGATCTGATTACTCTTAGCACTAAAGAATCAGAAAGAGAATGAAAAGAACTGAATTTTTATTTTAAGAAAATGCAATATGTGATTCTATTTACTCCTGGAACCAGTTTGTTTAGATGTTAGGGTTAGGCATTTGATCTTCTCCGTATAGCTACAGAGTAATATTAGTGGCAAGGATATATAGAAGCTGGATACATTGCTACTGGGAATGTAAGTTGCTACAACTACTTTGTTAAACATGCATTGTGACTGAACAATTCTACTTCTAACAATTCTAATTCTAGTAACACCAAGAGAAACTGGTGCATGTGTTGACAAAAAGTCCTTTATAGGAATGTTCATTACAGCTTTACCTCCTACGAGCCCCAAACTGGAAACTGATACTCAGATGCCCAGCAACAGGAGAATGGGTAAAATAACTTATAGGAGGTACATCCATATAGTTTGATGCTACTTAGCAATAAATAGCAACAAACCACTGTTACACACAACATATGAGTACATCTCCGAAACACGAGGTTGAGGAAAAGAGGCCAGGCACAAAAAAGAACATATGTTGTGATTCTACTTACGAATTTCAAGAAGCAGCAAAGTGGATCTTTGTTGACAGAACTAGAAGTAGAGTGGTTGCCTCTGTAGGATTGACTGAGAAGAGACACAAACAAGCTTTAAGGAGATGGAAATGTTCTATATCTTGAGCTAAGCAGTGGTTGTACGATTATATTCATATTTAAAAAGTAATTGAATGATGCAATAAAGATTTGTATATTTAGGACCGGCCTCCTGGCACGATGGTTGAGAGCTGGCTTGGGACGCCAGAGGGCCCGGTTTGGATCCCACATATGAGGGCCAGTGACACTGCCCTCTACAGCTAAGATGCTGAACAACAGTTCAACCTGGAGCTGGGCTGCTGTGAGTTGCCAGTGAAGGCACAGGCTGCAGCCCCTGCTGCAGTGGGTTGCCATGGGCTACCGTATGTAGCCAGCAGTCAGCATGAGCGGCCAGCAGCCGCTGTGAGCGCCGTCCAGAAGCTGGCAACTGATCTGACTCACCCAGGAAGAGTGCAATGATGGTGCCAACTTGGGCCAGTGAAGCAACGTCCTCCACAACTAGACTGAAGAACAAAACAACAGCAACTTGTCTGTTCCCCTTCCCCCAATTCCCCAATAAAGATCTTAAAAAAAAAAAATTTGTACATTTATTGAATATTAATTATACCTTAATTAAAACATATATAAAGAGGCTGGTATTATTATTCCTGTATGTATCTAATAATAATAATATTAATATGTAATATTAATATTATCCTAATAATAATTTTAATTATAATAATGATACTGAGAATAACAACTACTAAAACTACTAATATTTATTTAGGGCTTACTCTGGGCCAGGTATTTTCTAAGCACTTTTTATATACTAATTCATTTAATCCTCTCATGACATTATGGAGTAGTTTTCTTTTTTTTTTTTAAAGATTTTTTATTGGGGAATTAGGAGAGGGGAACAGCGTTGGAGAGTTGGGGGAAGGGGAACAGACAAGTTGCTGTCGTTTTGTTCTTCAGTCTAGTCGTGGAGGACGTTGCTTCACTGGCCCATGTTGGTATTATCATTGTACTCTTCACGAGTGAGGCAGATCAATCGCCAACCTCTGGACGGCCACTCACGGCAGCTCTTGGCAACTCATACCAGCCGCCAGCCGCTCATGCTGGCTGCCAGCCACACACAGTAGCTTATGGCAGCCCACTACAGCAGGGGCTGCAGCCTACGCCGTCGTTGGTGACTCACGGCAGCCCAGCTCCAGGTCGAGCTGTTGTTCAGCATCTTAGCTGTAGAGGGCAGTGTCACTGGCCCACATGTGGGATCTGAACCGGGGCCCTGCTGCTCAGAGCTGGCGTCCCAAGCCAGCTCTTAACCAATGCACCACTTGGCCGGCCCTGGAGTAGTTTTCTTATTTGCCTTATTTTACAGATAAGAAAATGGAGGCACAGAAAGGTTCACTTACCCAAGGTGACCCAGCTGGCAGTCTGGTTCCAGATTCTGTGCTCTAATCATTGTGTGGCACTGCCCAGGTACAGTAGCTCCTTCTCACCACCCTCTTTCCTTCCTGTTCAGAGACGTGCTCAATTTTCTGCGCTCAGGGGACCTGCCGCCCCGGGAACATGTGCGGGCCGTGTACCGAGAGGCCCAGTACTACGCCATTGGGCCCCTGCTGGAACGGCTGGAGGACATGCAGCCACTGAAGGGGGAGAGAGTGCGCCAGGCATTCCTGGGACTCATGCCCTATTACAGAGGTGAGGGGCCAGCTGCCCGGGCCCTGGGAGTGGGGTAGAGAGTGAGGGCTGCGAGGCATCTGTCAGTGCCTCCTCTCTCCTGGAACAGGTTCCGGGTACAGGTTTCATGTGCGCTTCTCAGGGTGGGAGAGAATCCCTGTCCCCTGCATACCCCCCATCTTTGTCCCACTGGGAAAATATAGGATAAGGAGGGCCCGCCTTTGACAGTCATCAAGTCACATTTCAAAAGGACCATCCTGATCCCATCCCACTGGTTTCTTTTGCTCTGGAGAACCATGAACCTTGTTTAAATCTGTACCCTGCATGGACCCACTGTTTCCCTTCCCCCAGGACTCTGCCCCTTCCCTCTGGCTTCTGCTGTCACTGGGCTCTCTCTGTGCCCTCCCACTGCCTCGCCCCACCCTCCACCCTTCCCAGTGATGGGGGTGTGCTCACCCTTCCCAGTGACCAGGGCATGCTCACCCTCCGTAGACCATTTGGAGAGAATTGTGGAGATCGCCCGGCTCCGCGCAGTGCAGCGGAAGGCACGCTTTGCCAAGCTCAAGATCTGTGTCTTCAAGGAAGAGATGCCCATCACCCCCTATGAATGTCCACTCCTCAACTCCCTGCGCTTCGAGCGGAGTGACAGTGATGGGCAGCTTTTTGAGCACCATTGTGAAGTGGACGTGTCCTTTGGGCCTTGGGAGGCTGTGGCTGACGTGTACGACCTGCTGCACTGCCTGGTCACGGACCTGTCAGCCCAGGGCCTCATCGTGGACCACCAGTGCATTGGGGTGTGTGACAAGCACCTCGTCAATCACTACTACTGCAAGCGCCCCATCTATGAGTTCAAGATCACATGGTGGTGAGTAGTCCTGGTAGGAACAGAGTCCCTTCAGGGAGGGTGTCCATTCCCCTGGTGGCTCTGGGAGTGAGATCCCTGGAAGGGCTACTGACGGCCCCGGATCCTGCTGAGGTGAGGACCGAGTACAGAGGCACAGTGCCAAGTGGACAGAGCTGCAGCTCTGGTCTCCCAGGCTGCACCTCGGGGTCAGGCTCGGGCTTTGGCCCACAGGGACTTGGTGCCTGCATTCACCTGGCCTTTCCTCTGGGTGGGGCAGTCTTTGTCTGAGGCTGATGGGGTCTGGCTAGCTAGGGCTTGACCAGGAAGTCCAGAAAGGTTTTGTCACTTCTTGACCTTGTAAGAGAGTTTCTGCCCTTTTTAGAGCCACACCACCAACGAATATAGACATAATCACTTCCTCATACCTGTTCAGGTATTGCTTTCTTGTGCTCAGTGTATAGGTGTGAACACAGAATATGATGGGGGATTTACCCAAGTAACCACTCCACAGCCCCTGGCTGAAGAAGGAGCATCTCCTTTCCTTCTTCCCCCAAGAATAGCCCATGCTTTGTTTTAGGATGTGGAAAGACTCTTCCTCTGAGAACATATTCTTCACCACTTTTTGGCGATAAAACCACAGTTGCCAAAACCATGCACCAGGTTGGCCTTAGAAAAGCAGTGTTTACAGCCCTGCGTGGGTCTTGGCTTCTCCCGTCTCTACCAACCTTCCTTGCATGAAGGTTTACTTGCTCACAGGGCTGGAAGGCTAATTTCAGAGGTGCCTTTTGAAGATTCCCTAAGTCCGGCAGGCATGATGCCTAAATCTCTTATCTTTGAGATGTAATACCTTTTCTAGAGGCTCAGAATACCTCCTTGGCTGCCATTTCGTGTGTCAGGATCCAGTGTGTGATGAACCTTCTTGGATGGGAACCCCCACTTTTTAAAACCTTATTGTTTTATCCCACTAACATTCTTCTTCTAGGAGAGTGTTTATTCTGGGGAAGCAAAGACAAGGCTGGGTGAGACACATGGCTACCCCAGGAGCTGTAGGAAGACAGCAGCAAACCTCCCCACAGTTCAGAAAGAGAAAACGATCTGCGCAGTTCTGCCTCCCTTGCATTTCCTTCTCGCTCTGTCTGCAGCCTGGGGTGGTTAGTCAGGGTATAAATGTCCTTCTTCTAAAGGAAGCACCACTAATTGGAACATAACATTTCTGAGCTGCAATAATCCTGATGACGCTTGACTGTTCCTGGCTGTTCTTGTAGGGAGATACTTCATATGTGAAAAGCTGGTGAGGACATCCTCCCTAGTCTCGCTCTTTCAAGACCAGGTTGGTGAGATAGGGCAAGGGGGAGCTGAAAATATCTGCCTCCTTCTGAGGAAGAGAAAATCCAGCCCTGAGACCTCGGCTGAATTCTTGCATGGGACAATAACCTCCTGGCCCATGTATGGGAAGAGATTGCAGGGCACAGTTCTACATGCTCAGAATGTGGAGCAGAGATACAGACTGAGATACAAGAGGAAAGTGTAGTCAATCATCCTGGTTCCCAGATACGTGTTCTCTGTTGTTCTTGCCCACAAATGGATGTCACTTTTCTGGAACTGAGGTCTCTGCTTGGAGCTTAGCCCAGCAGCATGGCTCTCGCCTCGTTCTGACAGTAAAGTCTTCCGTTTAGTTGCTCTGATTGGTGTTACTATCTAACATAAATTCATTTTTTGACACAGTGTAGCAATCCATTCAGGAGGAAGTCAGTGTGAGTAGAGAGCTGAGAATTAAGCCCAGTGCTCAGTGATCCAGTCTTTCCCCTTCTCTTTCCCACCCTGGTGTAGAACATCACAGTGCTTACTATTTAGAGTCCATCCATGTTGGACAGGAGTGGCTGGATTGCTCAAAAACAGATTCTGGGGACTTGCTTGGGGCTATAGAGAGGCTGTCCCTATGCCTCTTTTAGTGACACCCGCTTTCTCTGTCCCTCTGTGATGTCCTCAAGGTGGCATGCTTTGTGCCATTGTGGACCAGTATACCAGGAAGAGCTGCGGGGACACTGGCGTCCAACTTAGAGCGCTTTCTAAATGGAGTAAAAGATTCCATGGCCCAGTTTGGCCATTCTCTGATGAGAAGCCAAGGCCAGTCTGAAAAGTGCTTTTGGATGTGGTGGTTTGTGATAATGGCCTCCAAATAAAGGTCATCTCTGAGGAAGTGACTTCTCCCAGTTGGATCCCTTTTTAACTCTTAAAGGGCCAGGCTCAGAGCAGAAGGGTTGGGTCAGGAAGGAGGGTTCCAAAAGATGAATGTTTCTCCCTGATAGAAACAAAGTATATTTTCACAGAATTCTGTGCATAATGCCAGTGAATGCCTCTCCTGACAAGGGACTAGATTCACCCTGCCATGAGATAGGCCAGTGGTTATCGATGGGTCACAGTGCCTGCCTTTGGGCACCTTTTCTCCCAGGTGCCATGCTCACTGGTTGGGAAGGTGAACGTTTTAGGAGACAGGACTGTATGGTGCAATGCTAGTCCTAACAAAATTCAATGAAAATAAAAAACTTAATGGCAACCAAAAAAGGCTGAAACAAAACCAGAGTGAAACACATCACACCATCCCAGGTGGAGGAAGAACGAGAGAAATCATCACCATCCTTACTCTACCTCGGGCTGTCCAGTGCTTATTGTTGGGAAGACAGTTGTGACCTAAAGCTCCTATTCTTTCTTCCTGGAGCTTAGGGTATTCTGGGAGCTGTCTGAGCCTGTGTGCCTCAGGCTGATCAGCGTTTACAGCCTTTCTGGTCTGAGTTGCTCATTGGAGGACTAGGAAATTGACATTTGCAAACCACAAAGTGGGGTGAACCTCAATGTGTGCTCTTGGCCTAAGCCAGACCCTGAAGAGTTTAGGATCCACAACAACAGAGCAAAAACTACTCACACTAATCATTTTGCTCCCAGGTAGAATTTCAGACATCATTCTTCTGCATACCTTCTGTCTATATTTGATTGTGATACAAGTGATTAAGCTTTCTTGGGTACCATTTTGTTGGGGCTCTTTCATGAAGGCAGTGCCTGCTTCATGATCCTGAGAAGAGGGGGGCTGTATTCATTAGAAGCTGGAGTACTGGGAGCTGGGGTGGGAGAGGCACTTTTTGGAGTTCTGGAAGAAACGTGTATGTATACATGTTAATTGGGGGAGGATGCATTGGCAAGGGGTTGGAGGAGGTGGGAACAAAGGCTGGGTGTAGGAGCAGGCAGTTGCCTCTGGAGTGTGGAAAGGAGGTCAGCTTCTGTACGGCGTTGGGTTATGTACACAGAATGACACTCCGTGTTCGTTCCTTACCTGTCTGTGTGCGCTTTGGTGCATGGAGCCTCAGCACCCTCACGTGGCATTAAAGTGAACAGCTAGAACCTGGGTGCTGTGCCTTTCTTTTTTTGAGAATTACTCTCATCCCTTCTTGGCCCCCCATTTGGCCAGCAAATATGTCTTGATTTTTCCTTAAAATGTGGCATGTTGAGGGATGCTACACTAAATACCCTGAAATTAGCCGCTGAACGTCTGGCCTGACTTGAAGTTAAGGAGGATGGGCCCCATGAAGGTCCTTCTGTACTTACCTGGCCTGGTCTCTGCCCCACCAGGTAGGAGTATGCCCACCTCGCCCAGGCAGACTGCTCTGCCCTCGTGTTGAGAGGTCTCAGGGCAGAAGATCACACAGGTGCAGTCACTTGTGTGGCCTCCACCAAAGCAGTATTTCCGACAGAAATCCCTCCTGTCAGATCCCCACTTCTTTCCAGGGGAGATAAGTGGCTCTAAGCTTATGTGAGACTCAGTGGTTAGACCCTTCCTTGGGGGTATAAAATGCCCTTCCTCTAAAAGCGTTGTTTGACACCTTCCTGGCTAATGAATGTTGTCATGAAGATGCCCTTGGAGTCACTTCATGGATTAACCCAGAAAGGTGAGTTCTGAAGTGCTGGGCAGCTATGCCACCCTCCACTGCTCTCCTTAAATCTGATCATTCTCACTTTTAAACATAAACACTGCATTATCTGTGCCAAATGTATTCCGTGACCTAATCAGGGCGCACATATCACATAGCAGTAATACCTTACAAGTTGGAAACTGAAGCTTCAGGACGTCTATTTCTCTGAGGGCACACAGCTGCTGAGCCAGGATGCAAACCCAGAGCCCTTTCCTGAAATCCTCGTGTGGGTGTTCAATAGCAGAGCCCTCTCACTGGACAGCCCAGTGTCCCACCTCTGAGGCTCAGGGCTTCACCTGCCTCGCCTGTAAGATTTGAAAAGCAAATACTCTAGCAGGAGTACTAGGAAGACTTCCCTAGACGTGTAGGTCTTATGTAGCCCTTAGCATTAAGGAGCTAGGTGGGTCCTCAGTGCTCACCCGGGGGAGAAAGGCCCTCTGCTCATGGGACAGAGTGGAGGGTGATGTAGCAGGTGGGGCAGGAGCCCCTGGCTGACACTGTTGGGATGACCCATGACTTGTGCAGTGCTGGGTCTAACCACACAGATGTGCTGTGGAGCTTGATCATGGGGGGAAGGAGGCTTCCTTCAGGGACCCCTGGCGTCAAGAGCATAATTGAATGGGACACTCTAGTTTAGCTCAGGGGACATTGTGGACCTGGCTTGGAGCTCTTGGCCCTTGGACTCTGGGTCTCTACCTTGCTTGTGTGTCTTTTGTCGTCATTTTGCAGATGACCTTTTAGCTGGCTTTACTTAATTTTCATTTTGATTTAACTGATAGCCTGTTCCTCTAGCTTTTATTTACTTTAACTTTCTGTCTTTTAATTCCTTACCATTATGTTTCTCCTATCATGTACTTTAGCTTTCTGTATTTTTAAAACATGATTTTAAACTTCTTTTGTGTCAGAGCTTATGCTTCTGTTTTATTTTATTGTTTTTTAATTTTTTAATTACAGTTGACACTATTATATTAGCTTCAGGTATACAACATAGTGATTAGACATTTATATAACTCATGAGTGATCACCCTGATAAATCTAGTACCCATCTGACACCATACATAGTTATTACAATATTGACTATATTCCCTATGCTGTACTTTACTATTTTGTAACTACTAATTTGTACTTCCTAATCCCTTCACCTTTCTCATCCAGCCCAACTCCCAACCCATCTGGTAACCATCAGTTTGTTCTCTGTGTCTATGAGTCTGTTTTGTTCGTTTATTTTGTTTTTTAGAGTCAACATATAAGTGAATTCGTCTTTCGGTCACACATTTGCCTTTCTCTGACTTATTTCACTAAACTTTATAACATAAGTAAAGCACATGTATGAACAGGATACAGGGAAGATAGTTCTTGTTCTGAGCAGAGTAATTATGTGCTTTCTTTTTTCTTCTCCAGTCATTTCTACAATGACCTTACTAGCTGTGAACATTAAATACCTCATTTCTCCCTTTAGATCAATATCTTCTTCTAAACTCTTAAGGAAAAACTGACAGTGTTATTATCAAAGTTACAGATCTGGGTTATAGATAACCCAGGTGACCAAACTTATCTTTCCCTCCAAAATGTACCCCCACCCCCTACACCAAATAACAGGAAGTACAGCCTTAGGAACAGGGCAGTTCCGTTCCTGGACTGCTAAGGACTTCTTCCCTCACACACCTGTTCTCCCTGAAGAATGACACTACCCAGCAATCCTTAGATCCCACTTCCTCCAACCACCTAACACCAAGTGGGAACAGGACTGTTGTGCACCAGGAGAAAAAGCCAACACAACTACAAGAAAGACTTTGAATTGAACCATCCAGAAATACTCCATACTGGGGCCCATGATCAGATAGAATGCACTTTTGCCAGCCTTCAGTGATCAAAGAGGCAACCCGATTCACCCTTCAACAGTCCATGACTTTCACAGGATTTCCAAATTTTTCCTATATTATGTGCGGTCATGGCAGGTGACCCGGCTCCAGTAGGACTTTCGAGCAGACATATCCATACTTCTTAGTTATTACTAAAATCAAGAAATCGGACCCCAAGCACCACAAAACTTGGGGCTTGACCTCCATTAGAAGAAATTTACAAGTTGAGTCCAATCTTTATACCTTTGTTATTTCTGTAAAATACCATGAGTAGGCTTAAGTCCTAGAATGTGTATCAGCCTCTATAAATGCCTGTATTCGTGTTTCTCAACATAATGCCTGATCACCAGCTGTGCCTGTCTTCTGTCTGCCCAGGGGCCTACCTGCGTGTGCACATGTCGTGGGAACTGACTTTCCCTCCTCACCATGTCAGTTCCTTCCCCCTCTGCACATGACTGTACTGTCTTCGGCATTTTAAAGCTAGCTGGCCACTTCTGGCCATGCCTCATTGGCATCTGGTAGCCAGCTGTGGCAGTGATGCTGGGCGCAGGGCTGCCCTCTCCTTACTGTCATGCAGGTAAGTGCTTTTTTGCACTGAGGTCCCTGGCTTTCCATTTCAGCTTTCTCATTGGCCTGCTAGGATTTGGAAAGCATTTTCAGCTCCCCTCTCTAAGCACTGTTTCCACCCCCACAGCAACAGCAGAGGATGCCTACAGGACCCCACTGAGAAGACAAGTTAACTTCATCCTCTACCCTGGGAAGGAGGTATCAAAATTTCCCTGGAAACCAATTTCACCAAGAGCTGCCTAACAAAAATATGAGCTTCCCTGGTGAGCTGACCACATCACTATTGGCTGAAATGAGGGTGGCATTATTTACATGGCACTCCCATAAATAAGGCAGAATGTATCTGCCTCCATATTCAAGGGCTGTTCTGCCCAATTGCCTAATATTCCTCAGAGTCCAGCTCTGGAAACTCCCATTAGTCCAGAGGCAAAACACTGAGGAATCCCCTCTGCGGTCACCTGCAGGAATATTCCACCACTTCCATCAGCTGGGCCTGTAGCCCAGAGGATTCCACTGAGGTGGGCTTTACTGCCTAATTTTGAACCCGTCAATACCATCCACTGTGAGGATGACAGTCCTGATCTCTTTATGGCAGCAGCACCCCTGGGACAAGCTAAATTTGTGGGATGATATCACAGGTAGATTTCCCAGGTAAGTCTAACCAAGGTATTGGTATGATAATGGACAAGAATGTTTCTTAGGTGGAAGGCTTATAGGAGTGCTGCTCATTTGTTCCTCACTTGACCATTCTTTAAGAGGTGGGTTCCCCTGAACCCTTACTAAGGACCCAGCATCCCAACAGTTGAAACCCTTTCCATCTTTAATGCTGTCCTGGCCTTACATCACCAAGGCACACTTCAACACCTTGGGGTCACAGGGAGGCACAAGCATGGGCAGGGTCTGCCCCTTGTTTCCCCATCTGGTACTGGCTGAGGCCAACAATGTTCATGGGTGTAGGCGTTATAATCAACAGACTCAAGGCATACAGGCACCATGTTCACAGCAGCCTGGAGCAATCAAGGTGAAACCAGGAGCTTGGTCCACACAGGGAGGGCGGCCCAAGTTTTTCAACATTTTGGCTTCAGAAGATGCTCCATTACACACGCAAGACCCCAAAGCCAGCAGAGGAACTCCAGCTCTGGTGGTAGCTGAGAGGCCCCTGCAAGTGGCAGGTAGGTGCTCATGTGCAGCAGATGCCAGCCAAACCCCAAGCTTCCCAAAGTGGACACAGAAAGGGACTGTATGTGTCCCCTTACAATGGCTGATTGGTGCGCCAAAGAGGAAACAACTTAGGTGGTCCTCATGCACCCCACTGTCATCCCATGTGCCTTCTCACCCCCTCAGAATGGAAAACAACACAGACTTCTTCAGACTTTACATCTGACAAAACAACTGTTAGATGTATACTGTCTCCTTGGGTGATTTTGCCTGTATTGCATTTAGAGTCATTTGTTGTATTAGGAGGGAAAAAAAAAACACAGTAATTTGAACAATTTATATCTTTAATATTAACAATTATAATAGGATTGGAGTAATGAGGAATTGGCTAATAAAGAGTAGTGTAAGAGTCTAGGAGCAGCAGATAAATGAAGCAGCCACTACCCTTAGGGCTAAGAGGGAGGGTCTAAGGAAGAACAGCCACAGCTGATATTCAGACCTTTGGAGAGGGCATGACCATGGCTCGCTGAGTGGCAGAGAAGTCACGGTGCTGTGCTGTTGGAACTTGCTGGAAATCTACCCTGTAGGGTGCTGGGAAAATCTGTTCAAGGGAGCTGTCTTACGAGGGACACTCTGCTACCAACCACAAGGGGAGTGCTGGGGAAAATGCTGGCGTCTGTACTGCTGCCCGGTGGGCACAGCGGGAGCCGGGCGCTGGACAGGCTGTGTGCTGTAAGCAAGCACACCAGACCCAGAAAGGAGAACAGCTTCCCTCTTGCAGTGTTTCACCAATGTCCTCTATTACCAAAGCTCAATATTATGTTGATTGGCAAAGGAAAACATATTCAGAGGTCCCAACCCAATTTTTGCAGAGACAATGAAGGATGAATATGGAGCTAAGAAGAAATAACTGCCACATCATCTGTGTGCTGAAGACTTCTGAATTTATACTCCTGCCCAGGCCTCTCCTTAGCCTCGAATTATACATCCAATAACCTGCTCAATATTGCTACTTAAATATCTATTAGCCATCTCAAACTTAATTCATCCAAATGGAATTCTTCATTTCCCCTCCCCACCCCATGTAGCTTCCTCAGTCCATCTCTTCTGTCTCAGGAAATGGCACCACCAGCCACCCAGTCAGCAAAAGCCTGAGCATCACCTTTGACTCCCCTCCTTACCTCAGCTTCCACGTGCCATCCATCACCAAGTAATGGAATCCATCTTCAATATGTATCTTGAAAACATTCACAAGTTTACTTGTCTGAATCCCCATCACTTCTCGCCCTGATTCCTACAAAGGCATCTGTTAGCCCTGATTACCCCCTCTAGCCTCTTCTCCAGAACAGCCTTTCAAAAGGGTAGATTCGATCCTGCAATATGCCTACTTAAAAATTAAAACCCTTTGTTTTAAGAAAGAAATCGGCAAGACTTAACATGTTTGTTCTGGTTCCTGCCTACCTCACCCTATCCCATGACCCTGTTCCTGGTTTCCATCCTCCACCCTGGCCTTACAGTTCCTGCCCCAAGGTCCAGGTTCCCTCTGCCCAGAATGACTTTCCTCCGGCCCTGCTCATTCATGGCTGGCTCATTTCCATACTTTTTATTCCAGCTCAAATATCAAATACTCAATGACACCTCTGCCCACATCATCTAAAGTACACTCCCATTACTATCACATCACCCTATTTGTTTCCTTTGAGTGTTTTTTACCAATAGCAATTATTTTGTTTATATTTCTATTTCCTTTCAAATAAGCTCCCTGAGGGCAGAGATTTTGTCTGTTTACAACTATATCCCAATGCTTAGAATAGTGCCTGGAAAAGCGGTGCTCCATCAAGGTCTGTCAAGTGATCTGTCCAGTGTATGGACAGAGACCTCTTAGGGCATGTTAGTATTACCATGCCCTGTGATTAAAGTAAATGGAAAACAACAACAACCCAATTCAGACATATGTTTGGGTCACCCCACCAGGCAGAGATTAAATACGATTAAGTATGATTTCAGGAGATGTGTATGGGTATCAAGTTGATAAGGGGTGCAGTTGTGATGGTTAATTTTATGTGTCAGCTTGGTCAGTCAAACACTATTCTGCATGTTTCTGTAACAATGTTTTTGGATGAGATTTACATTCAAATCAGTGGCCTTCGAGTAAAGCAGATAGCTCTCCATTATGTGGGTGGACCTCATCCAATCAGTTGAAGGCCTGCATAGAACAAAAGGCTGACTTCTCCCAAGCATGAAGAATTTTGACAGCAGACTGCCTTCAGACTTCAGCTGCAACATCGCCTCTTCCAGTTTCAGCAGACTGCCTGTGGACTTGAACTGCATCTCTTTCCTGAGCCTGCTGGCCTCTCCATCATATTTCGGACTCACCAAGCCTCCAAAATTATGTGACCCAATTCTTTAAAATAATTATCTTCTATACCTTACTATATCTATGTATCCTAGGATGTGTATCTCCCTTCCTTTCATTCATACACACACAAGGTGCCAAAAAAAGTATACACATTTTAAGAAAGAAAAAAACTATTCAAATTAAGCTGATGGTAACCACTTTGAGCACCTCTTGTAATTGCAGAAGTCAAACGTGACTTATATTCATCTTATTGGTATATGTTCAGTATTACAATTTTAATATTTTCCGTTCTTAAAATGTGTATACAGGGCCAGTCAACTGGCTCAGTTGGTTAAGAGCTTGCTCAAGAGTGCAAACTCTGAGCAACAG